AGGCTTTTCTTAATATACTGTGATTTAGCTCTAACCAAAGCAGACAGTGAAGAATGATAAAATTCTCTCTAAACTACTATCAACTCTTACTGCAATATCTTCCCCGGGGGCAATGTCTTCCCCGGGGGATCTTTGATACTGCCTTAGGAGACATAAGCAATTACTGCCCATTCCTAGCTACTTGTCAATAATGATAAAAGGCCAGCTCCAACTTCTTCAGCTCAGATTCCTCAGCACCGTATATCTTGCAGTGGGTCCAATCGGCAAGGAGATAATTCACATATTTTCCTATTTAGGAAGTAATAAAGATGGAGGGAGAATTTATTACTCCTTTCTGCTTATAATTATGGCCTGCCCTGATTTTACAGAAATTTCTAAGATAAGTTATAGAGATCAACTCTTACCAAAAGATTTAAAATTCTGACTATTGTCCAACATCACCACAGTAAAGCTCATAAGGGTACTCAAATTAGTTGTGGTTTTTTAAAATACCTCTTGCCCTGGTGATAAGTTCCCACTGAGAGTATTTGACCAGAATGCACATCTAGATGCTGAAGGGACTTTTTCTTCATAGACATGTCTAGTCTCCACCTAGAGGTTTGAATTTATTTGTGCTGAGAAGAAGAAGATACTCTACACTGAGGCATTTGGAAGGGTTTTCTCACTGATAATCACCCTTGGTTAGAAACAACTGAACCAAATTCATTTATTTCACTCTGTCCAGCATTGAATGTGGCCCAGTCCCTCAGCTGAAACACAACTTCCTAGTTGTGGACCATGAAAAATTACTGCTAATGCTGGAAAAGAGCAATCTTGGAACCCAGGAACACAGGGAAATAGCTCAGCAAGGCTATTTTTTTTTTTCGTATAAAGGGAGCAAGTGGCAGAACCCAAACTGGGCTAGCAAGCATGCGTGGCCCACGAGGCCTCTGTCTATTCTTCCTGATGTTGGTGTCACTACATCTCATCCTGAAGCGAGGAGCTCTGTTTCACAATCTGCCATGATGAGGTCATCAGCAAGAAGGGGAGTAGGGAAGGTCAGGGAATAGGAGTTCTTGTCTGGCTATCTTTGATTAAAATAAAAAATAAACAACAATAACAAAACAGGAATAGTTTCTCACCTGGGCCAATAAGATGCTCTGTAGGTGAAGTTTCTGACTGTTCAGCCTAGCAACCTGTCTATTCCCTGGGACCCACATGGTGGAAGAACAGAACCAGCTCTTACAAGTTGTCCTCTGCTTTCCACGCATGCGCCCTGGGATACATGTGTGCACTTACTAACTGCTTCAAATCCCACAGACATTCTTATCCACAGTTCGCACAGGATCAGTCTTTCTTCATCACATGCTTACGCTGTGCCGGACAGCCTTCTCAACAACAGGAGGAGATAAAGCTAACACTGGACACAGTTCCTGCCTTCAGAGAGGACGCTGTTTAATGGAGCAACTGTCCAGTAATGAATATAGAGAGGAAAAAAAATGGCATGGTTTTAAATTGTTGTTAGGACCGTAAAGAAGGCCAAAACACTAAAAAAAAAAAAAAAAAAAAAGAAAAAGAAAAAAAAGAAAAAGAAAAAGAAAATAATCATCACTGCCTACAGCTATTATGATAGTTAGAAAATTTACCTTTTTTTTTTTTAGAGTACCAGCAAAGAATATAAAAACAGAGGCAAATGAAAGGCTCTCTCTCTCTCTCACACACATACACACACACATACACACACATATGCCAAATACATGAATAAAATACTGGACCAAATTCACAGAAGGAGGGCTCTAAGCATTTAAGAAAGAGGTCCACAGAGTTCTCACTAATCACAGAGAGGCAAAGTCAACCTCACTCGATGATAATAGCAAAATTTTCAAAGTCTGGTGTCACATTGGTGCTATGGATAAGCAGCAGCCAACAATCCAGCAGGTTTTTGTTTGTTTGCTGAGATAGGGTTTCGTTTCGTCTAGGCTGACCTGAAACTCCTGACCCTCCTGCTTCAGCCTTCCAAGTGTTGAGACACTTGGGTCGCCACACCCAGCCAGGCAGTGTTTCATACCAGGGAGGTTGCCTGAATCCACTACCTACTCCAAGCCTAGTCCCAGCTGGGACCTCCTAGCGCTTCTGTCTCCTTCCTCCTCCTTACTGGTCCTCTTAAACCTTGAGGGTTGTGGTGCTGTCCTTGGCGGTCTTGTCCCATCCTCTCAGCCTCTGGCTCTATAGCAACAGTTCTCAACCTGTGGGTCACGACCCCCTGGGACCACTTAAGACCATTGGGAACACACAGACATTTACACTACCGAGCCTAACAGTAGCAAAGTTACAGTTATGAAGCCCCTCCTAGGGAGGGTCACCCCAGCCCTGTGTTTCCAGAACTTCTGATATTTCACAGGAGACGAGAGTCTAAAAACTCATGAGAAGAGCTCTGCTTTTTAAATATAGGCAACAGATTTGCAAGTTTTTTAAACTACGAGAGGAAAACTATCCTCAGGCCAGACTTGGCCACCGGCTTTTCATCTGCGACTTCTGTCCACAATCGCTGTCTTCCTGGCATCTTCACGCTTTCCAACCGCCTCCTCTCTGCCCCCAGCTGCTTTCTTGGAGTTCTACAGCCCACACATAGCCTTCTGGACATTTTCATCTTGAGTGTTCAATCGGCACCTCAAGGCCAAATCTGAACTCATCTTTCCCAGGGGGAAAAAAAAATCACTTCTTCAGATTTTCTTATGCAAATAACCACTTCTCTTCCGTCCACTGAGATTTAGAAATGGAACATTGGCATAAATAAATCTTCCCTGCGATATCTACAGCATATCGGACGCTGGCACCGAATTTACGGAGTGTGTTCCGTGACCACCAGAAGGGGAATGGCAGAACAATGGGATGAGCACTCAGGAGTGTGTTTTCAGAGGCCTGAGTCTGTGTAGCAGCAGGACCAACCCAGACATCACAGAACTCGTTAATTCATGCTTCCAATATTTGTTGGATTCTTACAGTCCTTTAAGCCCTAGGGTAAAGACCGCAATAAAGTACTAGAGAAGTGATTTTGAAAAAAATACAGATTTCGGCTCTCACACAACTATTTAGAGAGATTGGCAAAGAACACGTAAATTTACAGATCATTTCAGTCGGGTAGAAATACCTCCAGGCTGCTATGAACAGACATGTATTCATGGTAGAGAGGGCCAGCTAGGGGGTAGGTAGGGTTGGTAAAAGAGGGCTCACAAGGAGGGGAGTGTCTGCATGGCTGATTAAGGAAGGCAGGGCACAGCCCGGAGAGGGGGAAGGGAATCTTAGTTAGGGGTTCTGTTACTGTCATAAAACGCCATGACTGTAAGCAACTTGGGAAAAAAAGGGTTTATTTCATCTTACAGCCCATCACGTGAGAGAAACCAGGGTACAACGCAAGGCAGGAACCTAGAGGCAGGAACTGATGCTGAGGCCATTGTCGGATCAGAATGTACATTTTTAGTGAGAGACACCCCCTCCCCGTGGGGTGTGCACACTTTGAAGTTTGAGAAGCGCTCTCACATGAACTGACAGATTATAAATTAGTCTCCACTCAAACATACCCACTGCTAAAAAAATCCCTATGGCAATCAGTCTTTCCTCTTCATACTATCAGTGCACAGTGAACCATGGCAGAGTCATTTGTGAGCCTTGTCAAAGAGCAAGATGCCACAAGATTGATGGACAAGGTATTACAGAACTATTCAGATCACACAGGCTGTATTGACAAGAGGAACTGACTTAGCCCTGTTACCCAGTGGTGGATGGGGTTGCTAATCCAGAGGCAGGAGGGCTTCCTTCAACAGAGAACAATTTGCATATCAAAGAATTTTAGACAAGCCCCTGGTAAAACAGAGGAGATTCATGAATAGCATTGTAAAAAGTAACCTACTTTATGATCCCATTGTGGAATTTAAACATAATTTCATTAAAAAAAAAACTATGCAAAAATTGTAATGCTATGTTCAATTATTAATTATTCTAAGAAGCACATTGAAGAATTACAGTTTTCCTAGTATTCTAGAACATAAGTATTTTGTTACAAGCTTAGCTCTGCTTTCATCTCATTTTACTTTTAAATTATTTTATTATGTGTGTGTGTGAGTATTTGTCTGCATGTCTGTTTGGATTCCATGTGAGTGCGGGAGGGGCATTACAGATGGTTGTGACTGCCATGTTGATGCTGGGGATTGAACCTGGGCCCTCTGGAAGAGCAGCCAGTGCTCTTCAGCACTGAGCCATTGCTCCAAGTATAATTTTCTGTTTTTTTAAAAAAATATATTATTTTTAGTAATTACAGTTTATTCACTTTGTATCCCAGCTGTAACCCCTTCCCTAGTCCCTTCCCAATCCCACCCTCCCTCCCTCATCTCCTCCCCTGCCCCTCCCCCAGTCTACTGATAGGGGAGGTTCTCCTCTCCTTCCCTCTGACCCTAGCCTGTCTGGTCTCATCAGGAGTGGCTGCATTGTGTCCTCTGTGGCCTGGTAAGGCTGCTCCCCCATCTGGATCAAAGAGCTAGCCACTGAGTTCATGTCAGAGACAGTCCCTGTTCCTCTTATTAAGGAACCCACTTGGAGACTGAGCCACCATGGGCTACATCTCTGCAGAGGTTCTAGGTTATCTCTGTGCATGGTCATAATTTTCTGTTTTTAAAGACAGGTATGATTGAGCTTTTTGTTAAGGTTTCCCATACTATCTGGGCCTTATTTTGAGAATAGTAAAACAAACTGAACTCTGTCTGGACCAGTTTTCCTTCAATAATTCCTGCTGAAAAGAATTCCTGATCATTGCATAGTTCTTTTCCCTTATGGGACTTATCATTATTATTGTTGTTGTTATTGTATGTTGGAAATATATTGGTACCAACTCTCACTCAGTGAATGATTCTTTTCAAGCTACATTTCTGAGTGAACTGTATGTGCCCATTGTGCTGGCACCCAAGGGGTACAGCAGTGAATGGCAGCCAGAGCTGGCTGCAGATGCCCACTGAACAATTGATTACCTTATCCACCATGAGGAAGTTCTCCATCGTCTCCCCATTTCCACAGGTGACACCCCCAACATCTCTTACGGCTCTGGGCAGGATCTCTTGCACCTCTTGGGCAATCATTCCTATACACAAAACACTCCAACAGGGTTAATGGGCAGTTGGAGAACAGGAGAAATGCTCGAAGGATTTCCTACATCAGAATGGAATAAGGAAAGCCATGGGAACTCTTTGGAAAGAGAACGTTACCTCGGCGCTCGCTTTGATCTACAATTGAGACAAGAACCGCTGTAGAATTAAAAGCAGAAATGGCCCCCATTCTCCCCTTCTTCCCCCTCCTTCTCACTCTTATTTTCTCTAAGTCCCTGGCTAATGGTGGGACAGGTGAATAAATACCTTTAAATCCCTATACAGAGAAGGAAGCGTGCCATTAGTCTGATTCCATTCTATTACTCTAGGAGACTTTGGTCCTCAGTGTTCCTGCTCATATTCAGCTTTCCCAGGCTGAGGAACAACCATCACTGTGCTAATGTCCTCTTACCTAGCCTCACCCATCTGTCATCTCTGCACTCCATCCCCAGACTGCCCAGGGATTCCCCTTCACACAGTCTATGCTGTTCTCAGCCCTTGAACCCTTGTCTCACAAGCAATCTATTCAAAATGCTCTGCCAGACCTTGGGGGCGGCAGCATGGAAGCGTTAGGTAAAGGCAACCCACCCATTCTCTAACCTTCTCTGTTCCAACAGCTGTGGGTTTCTCAGAGGATGTGTTAGATTGGCAGCTATTGTGAAATGCCGCAGCACACAAGCTCAGGATAAACAGACGAGGAGAAGCTGGCAACTCAAAGTTGAAGAGGGACTCAGGGTCTGTACCTGTTTGATGGGCAGTGTTTATCCCCATGGCAGATGCAAATTCGGGTTTGTAGTCGTATTCAACAATCCTCATTTGGGCTATTCTTCTCAGCTGTTCATTTGTGTCAACCTGATTTAATTAAAGGAGAGCAAATTTCACCTGTTTAGATATTTGTTATTCAAATCAATGCCCAGTGTAACCCAAGAGGCTGAGAAGATTGACAGTGAGCTGGCCATTTTCGGTTGGCCAAACTAGACCAGGAGAACCTTCTGACGTTCTCCTCAGGGAAGCCAAAGCCTTAAGATACACACTGACTCCGTCCAGCCCCTAACACAGTGGTTCTCAACCCGTGGGCTGCAACCCTGAAAAAAAACCATGGGAAGATACTGATCTTTACTTTACAGTTCATAATGGTTACAACATTTCAGTTATGATGTAGCAACAAAAATATTATGGTTGGGGGTCACCGTGACACGAGGAACTGCACTAAAGGGCCACAGCAGTAGGAAGGTTGACAACTACTCTTCTAACAAATGGGCCCAGCAGGCTGAGTCTAAGTTAAGAGGCCAAAGCGCCTCCTACTCTGGTCTCACCTTCCCTTCTCTAAAAAAATTGAAGATTCTCATTCTGAAGAGTCTGTTCAGTACAGCAAGGTGTCCTGTACAGGTGAGTCCAAGGTTTGTGGCCTAGCTTCTACTTAGAAACTGAAAGTGCAGTGCTAATTCACAGACAACCTTAAGGTAAGGAAGGATCCCATACTCTTGAATGGCTTTGAACATTTTTCTGGAGGACGTTTCTCTGAGTGGATTTCCCTCTTCTCCCTCCCCACGCCCCTCAGGATGCAGGTCAGCACAGGCTTCTCCCTGGCTCTTATGTCTAATGATGTCTCGATTGTCATTGCCAAATCCTCAAAACAAACAAACAAACAAACAAACAAAACCAACTGGTCCCCAGAAATTTACAGTGAGATAAAGAACTTAATCTTCTCTAAAACTAAATGTTTGATAGAAAAGATCCCCTTTAATTTAAGGATTTTTCATAAATTCACAAAACAGCTATATCTAATTATAATACTATTAGTCTGATTAAAACAGAAAAAAAATCGGTGACTTTTCTGTATGTCCCCTGACTTTTCTTTTAGAATACTGCTTGCATTGTGAAATCAATGCTATTTTGGCAATTAGAAATATATCATCACCAGTGACTTCCTGGTAAGATGGCAGATTAGAAAACATCCCTGAGTGGATGATGATAGTTAGGGGTATAGGAAGGCCAGCCCTGCTGTTCTGCCCAGACAAGCTTCTCACCTGAGGACTCACTGACTGATAACTATGCTCCCCATTCTCTAATAAACTTCCTCCAAGGTCTGCCTTGGCACCCGCCATGGCAGCCACAATGGCCACCTGGGATACTGCGTGCTGGCCGGGGCCCTCTCCAAGTCAACCTTAAATGCCTCTTCTAGCAAACACCTACAAAAGCTGTATCATCCCTGAATTTCTACCACAAAGAGAGCTGCAGTGGCCACCAGCCACACGGACTGCCTGTCCCCCCTCATGCACACCCCATCTGCTACCCCACATTGCGTAGCTGCCAAGAGCTGACAGGCACTGTGGCTGCCAGTGTCCCAGTCTTTATCTGGGCAGCAGTCACTAAATAGCCAGGACCACATCAGACCCCAGCCTGAATCAGCATCTGCTGCTCAGCATCACAGAGAGATTTGCAAACCTGACCCACCCGCTTAAGCACAAGGATACTAATAAAAATATCGAGACCGGGCCTGCAACAAGAGTCATTCAGAAAAAGCAAAGTTCCCTCTCCAGCCTTCACCAGTTACAAAGTAGCAGTTCTGGGGAGCGCAGGAAGAGAAAGACATTAGCACCAAATCCATTCCAGGGTTGTCCTATTACCAAAATCAAATAGACTGAAAGACAACTAAACTACCAAAGACCAGTTTCCCTGGTTCTCAACCAAATACTAGTGAACTGAATTCAAGAACATAATAAGATTACATATTATGATACTATAGGCTCCACCCTCAGGGATGCCAGGCTGGTTAAAGATAAGCAAATTAATAAATGTAATACATTATTAATGGGCTTAAGGACAGAAATCACAGAGCCTCTCAAATAGATGCAAAAAAGACATTTGACAAAACTCAATATTCCTTCATAATAAAATTCTTAGAGAAACTGGGAACAAATGGAATGTACCTCAAAATAATAAAGGTATATACAACAAACCTATAGCCAACATTATATAAATGGGGTAAAACTGGGAGCATTTCCTGTAAAATCTGGAATTAGATAAGGGTTCCCACTCACCTTAATTCAGTGCTCAAAGTCTTAGCCACAGCAGTAAGAGAAGAGAATGCTACATGTGGATTAAAATAGGAAGAATTAAAATTATCTGTATCCACAGATAACATAACTCTATACTAAAAAAGGCCCTACAGATTCTTCTAGAAAACTCTTTTGATCATATTTCAGAATGCAAAAACCAACACAGAAAAGTCAGTGCTTTTGTCTGTGTAAATCATGAACTTGCTGAGAAAGAGATAAAAATTATCCCATTTTTCCAATACCTAAAAAAATGATAAAGGACTAGAAACAACCCTAACCAAGGAGGTAAAGAACCTCTACAGTGGAAACCAAATCGCTGAAGAAAGAGATTTGAAGAAGATACTAGAAAATGGAAAGACCCGTAGCCATAGGTGGGTAGAATTAATATTGTGAACATGACCATTCTACCAAAAACAGTGTACAGATTCATTGCAATCCCAATCAAGATCCCTACAACATTTTCATAGAAGTAGAAAAAAAAAAATCCTAAAATCCATATGGAACCAGAAGAGAGCCCAGACAGCTGAAGCAATTGCTTCCCTAAACATTTTAATGCCACCACAGTGGGGATTAAGTCATGAGGTCTCTACACTCACTGACAAAAGAGCTGTAGGAAGTGCGGTGTGGGCGTGCAAGTCTACTCCCTGAAGTGGAAGGCCTATAATTCTCCTTATCCCCTCAGGCTGCTGTGAGCAGAAGCGGCTTTGGGGAGTTTCTCATTCAGAGTCCAGGACAAGGGGACAGGTTGCTTCTACAGAGAGAGCCTCCTGGAAGGCTATGAAAAGCTCTGGGGAAGTATGTTATTTAAGACAATAATTTTCTTTAATCAAGAGCAAAGCTGATGACTTTTTGGTAAATGAAAATGAAATTCACTGGAGAGATGACTCAGTGGTTAAGAGCACTGACTGATCTTCCAGAGGACCTGGGCTGTGTTTTCAGCACCCACACGGTAGCTCACAGCCATCTGTAACTCCAGTTCTAGAGATCTGATATCCTCTGTGGACATGCACACACATGCTACACAGACATACAAGTAGGCAAAAACATCCATATACATAAAACATTTTTTAAATATGCTGGACATGCAGCTCAGTGGCAGAGCATTTGACTAGCATACACAAGGCCCTGGGCTCAATCCCTAGCATTGCAAAATAAATACAAGAAAACAAAATTCTGCAGAAGCCTGGTGATAGCAAGCAGGCTTGTGGAGGGCAGTCTCAAGTTTGACATCCCATGGAGATTTCCTGCTGAGGCTTCATAAGCTGTTGGTATGGCCAGATGCAAGGACATATCTGAATCAGTGCAACCAGAAATGCAGACTGTCTCTCTCTAAAGCTCAAAATTTAGAACTAATATTTGAAAAATGTGTGTGAGAACTTTCTAGCCCCAAATTCCCATCCAACGAGGAGATCACAGCAACCCTAATGTGAATCGCAGCCTTGCAGGCAGCGTGAAAGTCAGCAATTACAACCTTTTTGTTTTATTTTATTTTATTTAAATCCTCTCAGCAGCCAGCTCAGAAAACCCAGTGCACATTTGCGCTGGGAAAGGAATGCAGGCTAGAAGAAAGGCCAATGATTAACAGATTAGACCCTGCAGTGGCCGAAGGAATAAATAGGGGAGTGGGAATGAGGCTTAAAACAGATGGTCGACAGTCTTAAGAAGGCTTCTGTGAGAAGAAGCCTGAGTGAGGAGGTGGGGACGTGGTGGGCTCTGAAGAAGCTGGATCAGGTGGCCTGAGTCTTCATCCTGATCATCTTGGCCCACAGCACACTACCACAACGTTCCAGAATGCTACCCTCTAACCCCAAGTAATTAGAAAACAAATGGCTCCCGAGGGTCAGGCAGGTCACAGCCCGGCCCTGACTTCAGCTGGGAAAGCATCTTTATTGAAGTGGGTCTTTAGGCCACTTCAATGGATCTTGAGATCCACTGCCTGTCCTAAGCGGAGCAAGGCACCACATGTCCAGCCCAAAGCTGACTGGCGCAGGAAGGGCCCCGGCTAGGGAGCTTTTCAAGTACTCCTCAAAGATCTGGCATGGGGAAGACAATGGCCAGCAGAGGCAGTACGAGGGACCCAGGGAGGAAGGGGCTGGAGCAGACTATGTCAGCAACCAGATGGAGAGGTGCCAGTGGGAGACCGGAAATGCCAGTCGTGGAAGGAAGGCGCTGGAGTGTGGAAGACAACTGTGTGAACACGCTGCCCGTGACCAGTGACACGCTGCCACTGCCCGCTGACTCTTAGGTGGAGCCATCCTCTAGGGACAACTGAGGCAGAGATGTTCCCACAAACTCCAACCATCACTACCTTCAAGCAACTCGTTCATTTCACACCAACAGGTGTGAAGCACACCCTGGCCAGGCGTGTCAGACAGGGAGTCCCAGACACCCAACTGAGGTGTCAGAGGAAGGAGCCCTGCGGCAAACCCCGGGCTCACCTCCTGGATATTCTCCTTCACCCGGCTGTCAGAGGGATGCATGATCGTCCCCATCACTTTCATGTTGCCGCAGACGACCAGGGCTTCATCAGGTGCATCCGTGTTTATTCCTACTCGACCATGACAGGTGACAGATTCTGGAACTTGTCCCCGCTGCCACAATGCATCACTGTCATTCTCAAACTGCCCGGGGTTAGAGGCCTGGAGAGACACAGTGGCATACTGCAATTAGAGTTAGATGGGCACAGACTGTTGGTCGTGAGTCCTCTGAGCAAAGAAAACCAGCCTGCTATCTGAGCCCTTCTCATGAGACTCCCATACTGGGTACGAGCTGATGTACAAGCCAGGAGGCCCCCAACAGTAGGAGCTCTGCAGGCCGTGGCTGAGAACATCTGATCGCTGTGACATTTCTCAGAGACTGAGCTGTATGTTCAGTTACACCACATGGTTGACTTTAAAAGGCGAGGAGGGGGGACAGGGACTAAAAACGACTCACTTTTCAGACATAATGATTATTTAAATTCAGAACAAAGGATGTACAAGTTAACTGAAATGATCAAGTAAATAAAAACACCTTGTGTTTTAACTAGTCTTTTATAACATCAAAGCACTCGTATTGGTGATTTCCCGCGCAGCTGACAATCAAAGGATAACACAGTCATATCCGATACACCGCAATGACTCCCTGAACGCAGGCTCGCTGTTCCACAGCTGCGGAATGGCAGCAGCCACACTTTTGTGTGCCGCTCTGACAGCAATTCTGTGATCCAAGTACCATTGTGCTCAATTTATTGTCACTGGCACTCGGAAAGGCTAATAAATTGCTCGAGAACACGTTGGAAATCCATGCTACAGCCAGCACGGCATTTCCTCTGATTGCTAAGTAATGACTCCAATTTGTACTGTTTCACAATGTGGCCGAGAAGTAGGCCCAGCAACCTTTAATAACAATCCGAGCGAAGCTATGCGAGACCTCACTTCTCATGAAACTCATGCCCAAAGAAGTTTCTGCTGGGCTGTGCCCCTTCCTGCCTGCTCCCCATAGCTGCTGCTGTACACAGGCGTCTCCAGGCCCCTGCATCCCTCACAACAAAGCCCATTTCTGTTTCCTAAATGACAATGCATTCCTCTAAATGTGATTTTTGCAGTTGTAGCCAGTTGTAGAGAATCCAGATTCGCTAGGCTCCTGACACCTCCTCAGGTAACACTAACAGAGCGACTTCCCTTTTGCCTGTGTGGCTGGCCCCGTGTATCTGTGGCTGGCCCCATGTATCTGTGAAGACAGCTCAAGGAATCACCAGTGTGGTTTGCTTGTGAACGAAGACTGAGAGACGTAGGAATTGAGGGGCGTGGCAGAGTCACTGTTCAGCAGACACTTTTTTGGTGTTCCATCAATATTCTGCCATGTGCATGTGTCAAACATTTTTAAAGAAAGAGGAAAGAAGCCAGCAAGGTTAGCTCCTAGTTCGATTTCAGTTGAAGAACTTTTGGGCAACTCCAACTTCTCATTGTTTCTACCAGCCTGAAACCTGCACCTCTTCACAGACAACCGAAGCAGCAGAACACAGACCAACGGCTTTAAGCGGCATTTTGTATGAATTCACTTGAACAGAAGTTTTTTCTGCAAGACCCCCGAGGCCCATCGGATGTGCTCTGTGATTGGCTTCGACTCGAGTTCGTTTATGGTGAGTGATCAGCACAGAAGCGTGGAGTGCTGATACGTTTTGCTGAACATAGGGAGCCACTTCAAGGAAACACCAGACAGTGACGGAGCCTGGCCGTTGACGGTTTCGAATGGGCTTTGGGATAATTCCTACCACGTTGTTCACTGGATAATGATGTAAGTAGATTTTTTTCATACGATTGCAACATTTATATTTGTTTCAACAGATAAAACTATATCCCTAAAATATGTTCCAATTACTTAAACAAGGGACACAGATCTACAAGCGATACTAAGAAGGGGTCATCATCCCAAACGAGAAATATTGTAAGATCTGTGTATTTACTTCCCCTCCCCGGAGCAGGTGTCTTCGTGTGTCAAAGCAATCTAGAACACACTCTCTCCAGAATTAGGAGCTTACATCCACATGAGGCCCGATAGCGGTTCTGGATACCAAACGGCAAACAGGTTTCATTCACTTTTCTAAAATACTTCTCGTCTCATGGTTCCATTCGTTTAGGAAAGACCTGAACATCTGGGTTCCAGTGCTGTCCTTTGAAGACTAGCGTAGGCTAAACTCCTTTCGTGTTTTTATCCCTCTCCAAACGTTATTGCGGAATTGAGTGAGATCGTGTGTGCGTGAAGAGTCTCCAAACTTAAGGGTGAGTGGACACAAATCCACCCTCCACAGAAAGGCAGGACACAGCGACACACCTGCAGAGTCACAGTTCCTGGGGAGACCTTCTGCAAGAACACAATGCAAAGGGCGCCCCCTGCAGGTGCTGGGCGGTAGCAAACGGCATTAAAAGTGACCAGTCTGGAAGGAAAATCGCAGGAATTTCTTTTCCTTTTGTTTCAGATGCTAAACACAGACACGGAGCCAATAGGAGAAGCGGTCTCAGGAAACCAATTTGTGCATTTTTTTGAAAGAGTTATTAAAACTCGGCCCAGAGTTACACTTTGGCTGTTGCGTGAACTTGCATAGCGAGAGCTAGGGGCGCTGCCGGCTTCGACGGGGGGGGGGGGGGG